CAGGAGAAAGTTTATTTTCTGTTGCAAAAATGTGTTACATCAGAATTTGCACCAAATAGTTGTTTTAGTAGTTCAGTATCCAGTGCTGGTTTCAAAGTAAGGAGATGAAGATTTGACAAAATTATAATGGAGAAAGGTTTTGCCATCACCCAGGACTATACCTTTCTGTGTTGTGTCCGTCCGCTCATTTTCCTTGTTAGCCAAGGGATTTCCTTTTCCCTGCACAATTCTGAGGGCGAAGGCAGACTTACTGATAGATGATCAATATTTGCATCTTATCATTTGATAAACTGTCTGTATTACCCTGTCCACCAAAGGATATACAGTATCTTCTCCTCTTGATTGTTCTGATTGGGTGTGGTAAAAAAATCCATACTAATAGGCTGGACAACCAGATTGCCAACTGAAGATGATATTCACCCTCAGCCCCATAGGAAATAAGTTCCCTTAAAGATCTGGGGCCTCTTCCCCAGTGTAGCAGGGGGCTCTCTCTCATAGTGGTCTTAGCTGCAGTGGTCGCTTCGGACACAATTTAATTATAATTTCGTTTCAGCCTGTCCAAGTGTGTTTTTTTAAACTACCTCTGTGTTTCTTTCAGCCTGTTTTTCTTAATGAAGTCCTGGTGAAACTGCCGACTGACCCTTCCAGTGAAGAGCCAGTTTTCCACATCTCCCACATTGATAGAGTATACACATTAAAAACAGACAACATCAATGAAAGGTGAGCTCAGAGAATGTTCATCTCGCTTTGTTTTTGTGGTTCTTATTTTTGTAAAAAATTAAAATAAAATAATACTCACTTCCGCAGAACTGCCTGGGTCCAGAAAATTAAAGGAGCATCAGAACATTATATTGAAACGGAAAAGAAGAAACATGAAAAGGCTTACCAAGGTGCTGAACGTTGGTTGATGGGAACTTGAAGGAACAGGCTGTACCACAGACACCACTGGATTCTGGTGTGAATGCAAGCCCGCTTCCTGGGCTTCTTGGGGACATCTCCTGGCCTGAATCTAAATGCCACATATTCCTATTCCCACATCACATTTTCAGGCTTCTTGACACGTGGGCACATTCCTAAAATAAGCCTCTGGCTTTACAAGTGGCATGAAGGGGTTTTGAGTTGCAAGACAGTTGTGCTGTGGAAAGGATTCTGTTTACACAATGAAGGAATGTTGGTGAAACTGAACATGGAAAGTTTCATGTGTCTACACTTCTACCTTGCCCAGGCAAATTTATACAAATTACAGGTGGATCCTGCTTCCTCCAGGATAGTTTCTAAACTTAATGAGATTTCAAAGCAACTAGTTGGCATGTGTGCTTAATGCAAACAGATACCACAAGTTGGCTGCAGTAAAGCTTCTGCGCAAACATGCCAATTTAGGTGCCTTGTGTTTTGTTCCATATGTTGCTCAGCCAGCTTTCTTTTTCCGTCCAAGCAATTTACTGGTGGTAAATTTGTTTTGTTTTTCAGCTCGGTCACAGAAGAGTTCAGGAATAGGACGTTTGATGGTGCATGTGATTGAAGCAACTGAATTAAAAGCGTGCAAACCTAATGGTAATAATTTAGGGGCGGATGTTTGTCTTTGGTGATATAATTTCAAGTTCAGCAAACTAATATGTAGAGAGTCTAGTGTTACAAATAAGTAGTTGCCAAGCAATTTTCTGGAACTGAAAAACCTGTGTATTTATATAATAAGAGAAATATGAAAAAAATAGAATTGCAAACAACCTGAGCCTAGAATCAGAGCAGGGACTGGTTTTAATGGTGCAATTGGAGCAACGGCCTCAGGGCTCACGCCAACAGGGCGCCCACACTTGGAACTTTGAGTTTTGTTTTGCTTTTTAAGTCTCTAGCCCTTCTCAAAGGTAAGTTATGAAGCTTAATTTGCAGGCAACATTCCAAGCAATTTATGTGCAAGGAATCAGACTAACATTTCAGACTTCATTTTTTTAAAAAAAAAATCAAGTAAGCCAAAACTATGCAATAAAAATAAGAGAGGTACAAATACAAAAAACAGAAGCAGCCAAGTATCTCTGGAAGAAACTTAAATCAAGTAAGTAGAGTACTTGAGACCATTCTTTTCAAAGTCTGGATTTCACAAGTATGAGGCATGGTGCTTATGGACAAATAAACCATTTCACAAAAGGAATATTGATTTTTTTTGGAGGGTGGTGGGTAGATTCACACCTTCTATATGATATGGTATCCATTTATTGACTTTGTTACGGCAACTGAACATGGTTTTCACCCACCCAATTCATGGAACCTTATGAAGGGACACTTTGATTGAATTGCCACCATTTTTCTTTCTTTTCTGTACAACTACAAAGCTCTGCTTTCCTGGTGTGGATAAGTTTTGTTACTTGAAATTAAAAATCTCCCCCCCCCCCAAAAAAAAAGATTTTATGCCTATGATACGAGCACTAAATCCCTTTTTCCAGCCATTTAACACCTCCTCCTGTATCTTCATGACAGCTGCATGAAGTAGGTTAGGCTGAGAGTTGATGCCTAGCCCAAGGCAGGAAGTGAACAAAAACAATGTGAGTTTTAAATGTGAATATGAGCATGTTCAGAGTATTATTATTATTATTATTTTTGCTGTCAAGTTTGGTAAAATGTTATTGTGTTTTGCCTTGAGAGTTGTAAAATTGCACATGCTCCAACTATTTTATTTTTTGTTGTCAGACAAAGTTTATGCCATAATAAATTTGATAGCCTTTTAAGACCCTACAGGATTTAATCTGTGGCACCTTATTTCAGGAATGCTTTTTCGGGACTGTCTTGAGAACTGCACCAGGGCTTCCAACCGCTTTAATGCAACCTTGAATCCAATCAGAGCAATTTAAACACAACTTTTTTTTTTTTACCCTCTTATGAAAATAGTGTCCTTAACTCTGCTCCGATTTGCCTACATTATTCATTTTAAAGGTTAATGTGTACACTTCTGTTTTATGTTAAGGGAAGAGCAACCCATACTGTGAAATCAGCCTGGGGTCTCAAAGCTACACAACAAGAGCACTGCCAGACACTTTGAACCCAAAATGGAACTTTAACTGCCAATTCTTCATCAAGGATCTATATCAAGATGTTCTGTGTCTCACCATGTTTGACAGGGATCAGTTCTCACCCGATGGTAGGTGCTGCATTTTGTATGCGAGAGAGATCATTATTTGTCCCTTGTTAATGACTAGGAGCTGGTATGGCATGGGCTGGAGCTTAAGCACAAACGTATCAGTTCTGACTACCCAGTGGCCCCATTTAGGGTGTTTGTTGTGTACTCTACACCTAAATAGAGCTATTTGGGAAAGAAGAGAGGTGCTCACTGCCAAGTCCATCTGTACCATTCATTTGTTGCTCCGGTGCATTATAAATACACCCCATTTTCAACAAACAGATCTTTATTCCCTGACTCTGACCATGTTTGTTTACTGTGTCCCAAGCAAGAAGGATCCCATCATCAACTGTGTTGAGGTTCTTTGCCCACTTCTTTTTGCTCCTCCTTCCAGTTCATTTTTGGGGGTTCCCATTTTTGTTGCATTTTGTCTGTTAGGGAACTAAAGATGAACAAATGCATTGCCAAGAGAGTTTGATACTGTATTTGAAGAAGCAGCCTGCTTTAAACACGTTTCATATATCAGTTTCTAGACTGAATCCTCAACTGTATATTCTATTTCATGTCAGGGGGGGAAGCGCTTTTCACCCTGAACTTCTGCTCTGAGAATGCATTCCAGGGCAGCCATCTGAACATGCTATTATGCTTCTCCATTCCTTATCGCATGTGACTCAGACTTCATTTCCTCCTCATTTAGCCACTTCACACTTACTTCTGAGTAAATGCATAATACAAGCTTAAGCTGTAGCTCTCTTTGAGTTTACTCTCAAATTAGTGTGCATTGGATTGCAGCCTTCATTATTTAACACAGATTTGAGTATGTTTTATGTGTTGTTGTTAAACAGATTTTTTGGGCCGCACTGAAGTTCCAGTAGCCAAAATCAGAACAGAGCAAGAAAACAAGGGACCTACAACTAAACATTTACTGCTGCATGAGGTACCAACAGGGGAAGTTTGGGTACGCTTTGATTTGCAGTTATTTGACCAGAAAACACTCCTCTGAAAAGGTGTTTTTTTGTAATATTAGGAACTACAAACTGCTGCCATTTGAATGGAGTGTTTTGCAAATAATCCTTCCTTACAGGCAGGTACCTGAGAGCAATGTGTGCTGCAAAATCACTTTACTTGGTCACTTGTACTTCATTTCTCTGTGGGGGTTGCTTACGTTTGTGACAATCTATGCAATGTAAAATGTACTGTATATAGAGATCCTGTAAGCAGTGCCTTTCTTTAGAATGTGGAAATTTTTGAATGCTGATGCCAATGTATCTTTTCAATGTAATTTTCACAGCTCTTTAAAGTATTAATTAGGAATGTGGCATTAAAATGTTTAAAGTGTAGCCACTTGGATTAATATGTGTGTGTGTGTGTGTGTGTGTGTGTGTGTATGCACATGTCACTCACATACATGCTGAGGGAATGATTTCATTCAGGGCTAGAATAACTGAATCTCACGCCTGAAAAATGTAATCTGCTTGAACCTCATCTCAGGATATTAATTGCAGGAAATATATGCTGAAGTCTTAGCACTTCGCGATCCTTTAAATACTGTATATCATTAATAGGAAGTTTATTTATTGATTAGGAAATTTCAAGAATTTCTTCAGTTCTGTTTAGCATTTTATAACCAGATTTTGGTTATAAGAAGGAAAAACTAGAAAATTTTCATTTAAAATACTGGTTGATAATCATGAATACGTTTCATGTGATTTGTTTAATATATTTATGTAAATAAATACTTGGGTTTCCTGGAAGATGCCCGTAAAATGTGCACCTTTAAGCTTCGCCAATGGGCCCAAGGCAGTGAAGGTTACGTCACCCTTGGATCGGCATAGAGAATAAAATGAGCTTATTAAAATGATTCGTCTAGATTCAAATGGAGGCATACTGATTTTCAAAAGTATATTTTATTGTACCTCTGAATGTGAAAAACACAGGAACTACATTCAAGAAAATATAAACAAAATGTAAATCATACTTGTTACGGGTACTGCTCATAGGATACAATGGAATTAAATATTCAGCAAGACAGATCGTCCTCTTGGACGCGAAGAGGCAAAAGTGCCCACTGGATTGTTCTCCTGTGCAAAAGACCTGAAGCACAGCTGCACCTTGGAGAAGAAGTGCAAAAAGGCTGGCAGCAGAAGTTGCCAGTTTCAGGCACTGGACATAAATAGGCAGGACCTCCTCTGCATCTTTCACTCAACTCTCTGCTATTTCAGTACTGCTTTCAATGCAAAGTTAGCGGAGTTGCATCCTTTAGGTGCTATATTGCTTAACAAGTTTTAACAGAATTGCAAACTTGACCTGAATAAAAGTTTTCTGTGTTTAATTATTTCTATTTTTATCTTATCTTATTTTATTTTAATGTGATTTTCCTAGAGCATATATTCAATTCAAAGTCAGATCCCACATTCCAAAAACTGGATTGTGACAACTTTTCCTGGGCAGGAATAAAAACAAACAGCTATTTCACATTTACTTGAGCAAGTATCTACATCTAACTCAATACATACTTGAAATATAACAAAATCACCACACTTCTGCAATGAATAAACAGATGAATTGGTACAAATTTTAAAGCAACAAAGGCCTTCAATATTACTATTTTAATAATACCAGTATTAATCATTTCAACTAGTTTGCCTAAATTGTGTGTGTGTTGCAGGGCATCTGCAAAAATTTCTCAAGAATTGACACACTTCAGGATAATATCTTGGAGAGAGCAAAGTTCCTTAGTAGACACTCTACAGTGTTCATCCAAACTGCCATCTTCATTCATCGGTTTCATACACCAGGGGCATGAAGGGGCTGTCCAACTATCAGGTGTTTGCTCCTGGCAGATGATACAAGTTCTGGCTGGACTGTCTCAATCTGTTTATCAGCTGTTGCTACTGCTCCTTTATATATCTATTTTGTACAGCTGCCATGGTCATGCCAACTGGATCTCAGACTGAGTAAATGGTATCTTTCACATTATTGCAAGGGACTAACAACTGTCTAAGAGTACTGCGTCCTTAATAACTTGACTGACTGTTTCTTACAAAATCAGTAACCTTTTAGGACCTGGTTTTGGGTCACACAAGGTCAACATTACCAGCTGTTAGATACCAGTGCATAATACTTGGTATAATGCCCCCCTCTGCTTTTCAACTGAACCAACTGCAGCAAGGTAAGTGGATGATCTACACCAAAAGCATCTTCTTCTACGCAAGCCCCACTCTTTTTGGAAGGTAGATTTTATGAAAGATGAAACCATAGTATTGTCTTCAACTAAATAGTGCATTTAGTTGTCTACATATAAGAGTGTAATATATCCCTCGCTATGTTTCAAACCCACTTCTGTGCAGGAGGATTCCCTACTGTTAATAGGTTTGTGCTTTATGTTATTGTGCTGTGGCCAGAATCAGTAACGGTTATAGTGCTCAGGTTTGTGCACATCTGTAAAGGACTTAATCCATGTGTTCCTGGAACATTATGCCAGACAGAAACAGTTTTATTTGTTCTAGGATGTTTCATATGTACGGCACTGCTATACTCAAAAGTAAAAAAGTGCTGTACACAGGGTAGAACTCCTAACTTGGGGGAATAAATATATCACTGCTGTTGCTTGCCATGCATCTTCCTGAGCTACCTTTGTCTAATCTAATGCAATAGCTGGGGCTCTATCCTGCTAACTGTGGCTCAGAATCCACACTGCTTTTGGTTTGCATCTTATATAAGGAATCCATTTCAAAGGCATATCATTGGGAAGCAGATTTTATTGCTGGTTTCCAAACTGATGAGCCAGTTAGTATCTGATTTGTCAAAAGACAGGGCATGCGGGTGAAATCTGGTTTCCTGGCAGAGCCATCTCTCGTTCATCAGAAGCCAGGACGGGTCCCCCTACCTCTTGAAATCCACAGAAGTCAGGTTTCTAGATGTGCGCATTTTTCTCCTTTTAACAGAATGAAATTAGACCATTATCAGGCACTAATGCTTACTGCTGCTGCAACAGATGCACACTGCTGAGTTGAGACTGTGTGACACTCAGAATAAAATGTAAAATGGCAAACGGACCAGTACTCTTAACATTCCCTTTCCACTTCATTGGCATTGAGAACAAAACCTTGTTAACGTGTAGATATACTGGTGAACACCACATAGCTATTCTATTAGGGGTGGAGTGGTAGGAAAATCATCTTCAGTGGGCCATCTCCTTCCCTTGTCTTAGGAGGCAGACGGCTATAGTGCTGGCAGGAGGAGTGGGGTTAGGCCAAGACCAGTCCATGCTTCAGACTGGGGAGCAGGTTCCTCTCAGGGCTCCTGGCTTTCCCGGTTGGTGAGCCCCTACTGGCTAGGATATTTTTCTTCTTTCGTGTTCTCGCTTGTTCTTTACCTTTCCTAGCTCTCTTATGTGCCTTCCTACAAAAAAGAAGAAGGAGAATAGGAACCACTCACCTTGCCGAGGGTCTACTCTTGTCACATCCCTCCCCTGTTTCCGAAGGATGAGATTGCAAGTGTGTCTACCTGCTATGGAAATATGCCTAGGCCAGTTGGGAGTCCAACTCCCAATAGCTCCAGCCAGCATGGCCAATGCTCAGGATGAAGAGAGTTGTGATCCAGCAACAGCTGGGGAACCACAGATTCCCCATCCCTGCCCTGCATACTTCTGTTGTCCCTACAAAAAAAAGTGGGAAACCTGGGACTATGTACTTTATAGTCAAAGGTGCTCTGCTGTAGTTGGGGTGACTGAATCTGTGTGGAAGAAAGCACTTTTCCAGAAAGAGAGCAGCCAGGTTGGTAATGAAAAGAACCTTTCACAATGGAAAAACATCACTTTGACAAGGACATTTACCTACTAGATGGGTGTAATGGGGATTAAACTAGTAGGGTGAGAGAGGAAATTACCCTTGCCACTTTTAAAAGTCTCTCACTCTAAATTATGAAAAAGGGAGAGAAGAAGGATCACACTAGGCCCCCAATTCCATTCATTGCTCTCTTGAGATGACCTCTAGGATGACCTTCCAGAGTCAGTGCACCAAAGAAGACTAAACTCCCCCAAGCAAAGCATAGAGTTTTAAGTTATCTACCTTGCTTACTGGTTTCTGAAAGCCTCATGAGATTTCACAAGGCTGAAGAGATCTCACGAGAGTCTCCCACCACCTAGGAAGGAAGGCAGAGAACTTAAAAAGTTTGCTTCTGCTTCTGATGCTTTCTGCCATGGTGAAAAATGTCTCCCACACTAGCGGAGATCGCTCGTGCAGCTAATTAAGGATAATTTGAGAGTAATTATTCTTACAAGCCCCACTCCCACCCCCGAGCTGGGGTGTGTGTGTGAGCTTTCACTCGCAGATCGTCTGATACCTGCCTCTTGTTCCGGTGGAATGTGGGAGGCAGGGGACGCTGAGTGCATAGCACTGCATGTATCAGAAACTCCAACGCAGTCACTATGAGCGGAGGTTCTGTTCCTTAGGATGGATTTGGATCTAAGTAACAGGTGTGTTCTGGACTAAGGGGACAAGATAACCTGCTAAATGAATCAGCCACTGAGTGCCAAGGATCTGGAGAGGATTTTCATCGTAACTGGTAACCATCGTAACATGGTATGTAGAGGGAGAGGAGCCTTTACCCTTTCTTTATATACATTATATTTGCTGTTTTATGATTCAGCAAGCCTCCCCTGAAGTATTAATTGTTAATGGATTGAAAAAATGCAAGAGGGAATTAACAAGAACTTCATAATTTTTATGGATTAATTGCAAGAATTGAACTGTGTGAAAACATGGTAATGATTTGTGGCATTGACCTACGGAATGGTAAAGAGGGCTTTGGTTCTGACTTATCATGCCTTCAGCAAGATACCAGCTTATTAACAGATAGGAGAGGGATCGAAGAAGTTAATTCTGGGTATCTGCCCGGGGCTATGGCGAGATGCCAGACTTCTCTTTGTCTTGAAGGATAAGTAAAATGGTGTGTGACACAGTGAGAATTGCAGTTCTTGACAGAAAGTGTAAGTGAAGGGAAATGCTGAGGATGGATTACAACATGAAGAGTAAAGACGAACGTAAAGCAAACATTTCACACAGAAATTTACAGGATAAAAACTCCCACTGCAAAATTAATGGATATGGAACAGTTAAATATGAATGAAAGTCATCAGATCAGTGGCTATTAAAATAAAGGATAAAGATCGGAACTGTTATATTTCATAGAATCATAGAATCATAGAGTTGGAAGAGACCACAAGGGCCATCGAGTCCAACCCCCTGCCAAGCAGGAAACACCATCAGAGCACTCCTGACATATGGTTGTCAAGCCTCTGCTTAAAGACCTCCAAAGAAGGAGACTCCACCACACTCCTTGGCAGCAAATTCCACTGTCGAACAGCTCTTACTGTCAGGAAGTTCTTCCTAATGTTTAGGTGGAATCTTCTTTCTTGTAGTTTGGATCCATTGCTCCGTGTCCGCTTCTCTGGAGCAGCAGAAAACAACCTTTCTCCCTCCTCTATATGACATCCTTTAATATATATGAGAACATGGCTATCATATCACCCCTTAACCTCCTCTTCTCCAGGCTAAACATGCCCAGCTCCCTTAGCCGTTCCTCATAAGGCATCATTTCCAGGCCTTTGACCATTTTGGTTGCCCTCCTCTGGACACGTTCCAGTTTGTCAGTGTCCTTCTTGAACTGTGGTGCCCAGAACTGGACACAGTACTCCAGGTGAGGTCTGACCAGAGCAGAATACAGTGGCACTATTACTTCCCTTGATCTAGATGCTATACTCCTATTGATGAGGCCCAGAATTGCATTGGCTTTTTTAGCTGCCGCGTCACACTGTTGGCTCATGTCAAGTTTGTGGTCAACCAAGACTCCTAGATCCTTTTCACATGTACTGCTCTCAAGCCAGGTGTCACCCATCTTGTATTTGTGCCTCTCATTTTTTTTTGCCCAAGTGCAATACTTTACATTTCTCCCTGTTAAAGTTCATCTTGTTTGTTTTGGCCCAGTTCTCTAATCTGTCAAGGTCGTTTTGAAGTGTGATCCTGTCCTCTGGGGTGTTAGCCAACCCTCCCAGTTTGGTGTCATCTGCAAATTTGATCAGGATGCCCTTGAGTCCATCATCCAAGTCGTTGATAAAGATGTTGAATAAGACCGGGCCCAAGACAGAACCCTGTGGCACCCCACTAGTCACTCTTCTCCAGGATGAAGAGGAACCATTGATGAGCACCCTTTGGGTTCGGTCAGTCAGCCAGTTACAAATCCACTGAGTGGTAGCATAGTCAAGACCTCATTTTACCAGCTTCTTTACAAGAATATCATGGGGCACCTTGTCAAATGCCTTGCTGAAATCAAGGTAGACTACATCCACTGCGTTCCCTTCATCTACCAGGCTTGTAATTCTGTCAAAAAACGAGATCAGGTTAGTCTGACATGACTTATTTTTCAGAAATCCATGCTGACTATTGGTGATCACAGCATTCCTTTCTAGGTGCTCACAGACTGTTTGCTTAATGATCTGCTCCAGAATCTTCCCTGGTATTGATGTCAGACTGACTGGGCGGTAATTATTTGGGTCCTCTCTTTTCCCCTTTTTGAAAATAGGGACAACATTTGCCCTCCTCCAGTCTGCCGGGACTTCGCCTGTTCTCCAGGAATTCTCAAAGATGACTGCCAGTGGTTCTGAAATCACATCTGCCAGTTCTTTTAATACTCTTGGATGCAGTTCATCTGGCCCTGGAGACTTGAATACATCTAGACTAGCCAAGTATTCTTGTACTATCTCCTTAGTTATTCTGGGCTGTGTTTCCTCTGCTGAATCATTTGCTCCAAATTCTTCAGGTCGGGCATTGTTTTCTTTATCGGAGAAGACTGAGGCAAAGAAGGCATTGAGGAGTTCAGCCCTTTCTGTGTCCCCTGTTTGCATTTCACCATCTTCTCCTCTGAGTGACCCCACTGTTTCTTTGTTATTTGAACTAACTAAGAGTATTGGAGCAGGACGAAATAAGAACATCATTCCCCGAAATCCAGAACACAGGAAGTCATTCAAAATTATTTAATTTGGTATTGGATAATTGGCTTTTTTAACTGTATTATAATTTGGTATTGTATTAATGTGGTTTTTATTGGATTATTATAAATGAAAATTAATTTTTAAAAATATTTTTTAAAAATAATCCATGCCAGGAAAACCCTATGCAAAAGGAGCTTTTAAGCTTGCCACCTTCTGTTAAATTGTGTAAGTTAAACACGTGTGTGTTTAACTTACACAATTTGAACATGGGTTCAAATGCAAGCTGCAACCAAGTCTCAGGGACCAGCACTGCAATCCACCTCCAAGGGTAGGGGGAGAGGGACTTTCCAAGCCATAGAGTGTCACGTGAAGCACTTCCAGATCCTTAGAATCATAGAATTGTGGAGTTGGAAGGCAACCCCCCATGGGTCATCCAGTCCAACCCCCTGGAAAGCAGAAATCACAGCTAAAGAATCCCTGACAGATGATCATTCAACCTCTGTTTAAAAAACCCCAGTGAAAGAGAGGCCACCATCTTCCAAGGTAGCCCGTATGTTCAGAAAGTTCTTCATAATTTTTAGTTGGAATCTCCTTTCTTATTTGAATCCATTGGTTTGAGTCCTACCCTCCGGAGCAGCAGTAAACAAGCTGGCTCCATCTACCATGGGTATTTGAAGACAGCCATCATATCTCTCAGGTTCCTCTTTTCCAGGCTAAACATACCGAGCTCCTTCAACCATTCCTCATAAGGCTTGGTTTCCAGACCCTGGATCACCTTGGGCACATGTTCCAGCTTGTCAATAGCCCAGAACCAGACATGGTACTCTAAGTGTACTCTGACCAAGGCAGAGTAGAGCAGTACTACAACTTCCCTTGATCGGTACACTAGATTTCTGTTGATGCAGAGTTCTCCAAGAGATTTTATTATGACTGAGCCACTGGTTCATAAGAACATTTGCCAACATTTGCCCAAAACCTGACGACTCTGCAGTCCTGGCTTTGGAAATAGATTATTTCCAGAAAACCACTACAGTGGTATCTCGGTTCTTGAACATAATCTGTTCCGAAAGACTGTTCAAGTTCCGAAACATTTGAAAACTGAGGCGCAAAGGGCTGTCTGCAAATTCAATTGAGAAAACTGAAAAACACGCAGTGGAAGAAACTCAATATGGAGGTCGGATGGCCGAAGTATTGGGAAATTTTGGAACAGGATGGAGATAAGTGGAAATTACAAAGCTATGACAAATTGAAACATAAAGTACAAAACTGGCTTCAATATTATCAAATAATGGAGCTTTTCAAACAGGACAGGAAAATTGGCTTTCAGGTGGAAAAATCAAAACTAGAGATTGAACTGCTAGAACCCAACACTAAGAATTTATCAAGAATGTATAACTTGTTGTTGAAATGGAATACACAGGGTGAAACGGTGAAATCAGCTATGATTAAATGGGCACAAGATATTGGTCATGACATTATGTTTGCTGACTGGGAACAGTTATGGACCACCGGTGTTAAGTTTACGGCATGTAATGCCTTAAGAGAAAACATAATGAAAATGATTTACAGGTGGTACATGACCCCAGTCAAGCTGGCAAAAATCTATCATCTGCCCGATAACAAATGTTGGAAGTGTAAAGAGACTGAAGGTACCTTCTACCACCTTTGGTGGACATGCCCGAAGATTAAGGCCTTCTGGGAAATGATCTATAATGAAATCAAAAAGGTACTCAAATGTACCTTTTCTAAAAAACCAGAGGCCTTTCTCTTGGGCATTGTCGGCCAATTGGTGACAAAGAGGGATAGAACTTTCTTCATGTACGCTACAACAGCAGCAAGAATACTCATCGCAAAGTATTGGAAGACACAAGATCTACCCACTCTGGAAGAATGGCAGATGAAAGTGATGGACTATATGACATTGGCCGAGATGACAGGCAGAATCCGTGACCAACGAAAAGAGACGGTGGAAGAAGAATGGAGAAAATTTAAAAGTTATCTTAAGGACTACTATAAACTTAATGAATGCTAAAATGTTGTGGTTTCCAGAAACAAAGGGGTACAGGGACATAAGGTTAGAAATATAAAAGAGGACTAAGATGACAGAGATTGGAAAGTAACAATTGGGAGTTGCTAGTTGAATTATGGACATTGGGATGCAGAGAGGGGGGGTATGGGGAAGTCCAAGAAAAGAGGTTTATGAAAATATGTTTGAAACTATATGTGTATGTTTGTCATTTTTAGTGTTTGTTTGTTTTTCTTAAAAATTTTGTAAAACCAATAAAAATTTTATAAAAAAAAAAAAATGAAAAACACGCAGTGGAAGGCAATCGCTACTAAAAATGGTGATACTCCCTACCCTCACAAACAGGCAAAACACCTGCCCACTCTCAGAAAGTAGACTAAAGATAAAGAATCAAAAGGTAGTCAACTTCCTCAAAGAGCCACATCTATAAACAAACAGATAATGAGTGAGTACTGGTCAAACAAGGAAATGCCAGCCAATTCCTGGTTAATGATGGTTTCAGGGGGGGAAACAGTACAGATGAATGCATTTATGCTTTGTGATTATGACAGCATTTAGAAGATGGAGAGTTCAGATGATGAAACACCTCAGGTCAGGCATGTCCAACTCCCAAGATACCGTGATCTACTCCCAGTATAAAAAAACTGGCAGTGATCTACCCATTATCCTGGGAGGGAGGAGGAGCATGTGTGGGGTGGGTGGACTGCCCAGAGTTGTTGAGCTTTTTGGGGGAGGATTGCACAGTTTTTTAGCTTCTCTCCCATAAATTTTTGTACATGATAAGGATCCCGCGATCTACCAGGATCAGCCAGGGATCTACCGGTAGATCACAAAGTACAGGTTGGACATCCCTGCCTTAGGTGTAACCAACAGCCCTTTCTTCAACGGAAAAGAAAGCATGCACACATTTAAGCTTTTAAATTAAAACCACTTGCTATGTTATTCACACATTCCATGGTAAGTCCATAAAACAGCTCTACAGCTCTCTCTTGTGTGAAATATGGAATAAAGAGAATTTCTTTAAGAAGCAGTGACAAACTTTACCGGCTCTTTTGACGAATCTCACTTTCTATGTACCCAGCTGGAATTTTTAACCACTCTATTGGATTCATAAGTTGCCGACTCAACGGAAGGAGTGGCAGTTCTGCCTTATGGAGCTCATTCATCTCTTTGGAGGAAAATACTTTTCCTGTAGGAAGTCAAAAGCATGAAGGTTATTTCCATAAACTGGACTGGCTGCTTTCAGAGAGAAAGGAAAGGCAAAACTAAGGTCAAATTCACTCCTCTCAGATATATAGCACCACCAACTTTACCACTTCATAAACTTTGGGGAAAGACCAAACGAACCTAAGTGATTACATCTGCATCCTTCAGTTCCTCCATCCTGTATCTCGAGTCAAAATGGCCATAGCCAGAGGATGGAAAACAGATCCCGACTTTTATATCCACCCTTGGTATAGTTGCCTAGCCCCTGTGGAAAGGCCAGCCCATGATGTGTGGTGGGCTGAAGGCCAAGCCAAGCCAGATATGTTTGATGCAGCAAAGTTCCCAATCTTTTCCTTTATAAATACCGTATTTTTCGCTCTATTAGATGCACCGGACCACAGGACGCACCTAGTTTTTAGAGGGGGAAATCAAGGAAAAAAATACCCCCCCAGCCCCAAAGAGCAACGGACAGGCTGCGCGCTTCCTCTTTAGCCTTGAGCAGCATCTTTAGCCTTGCACAACGGGATGGATCGTGCCCGCTGTCCACCGGGGCTGGACTAGATGACTCCTGGGGTTCCCTTCCAACCCTGCAATTCTGTGACCTCGGAAGTTGTTGGGGGTCTCCACCACTAGAGGCTTTTAAGCAGTGGTTGGGGGACCATCTGCCTGGCGTTCTTTAGCTGTGATTCCTACTTTGTGAGGGGGCTGGGCTAGATGACCCTCGGGTGGCCCTCCCAACTCTATACAGTCCTACACTTCTGCAGCAGGAGATCCACAGCCACTTCACACAATGCCCACTCCCAATTTTCATTGGAGAGACATGTGGCTTCACTGTCTAGGTAGGTACCCCCCTACCTGCCACTCTTCCCTCACCCCACTTAAGCCGAGGGAATTCCTGCCCAGAGAAGCTCCCAGGTGAGGCAAGGGTTAAGATCTACCTCTGGTAAATGGCTTTGTATCCTCCCTCTTTCCCTTTTCTCTTCTTCTTCTATGCTAGTTCCTTCTCTTGTGTTTTGTTTAATCTGTTTTTTATTGTATACTAAAATAAAAGCTGCAAAGTTTCCTTTTTTATAATATTCCCCCCTCCAAACTAAAACGTTAATCTAGATAAAAACACTGATCCAGAGGAAAATAAGGGGGTGGAGAAAGGACGAAAAAAGAAAAAGAGGTAGAGATAGATTTTTAAAAAGTTGGCTTCTTTAGCCTTGTGCAGCCTCCCGCGGCTGGAGAGGCGCGCACGGCTAAAGAGGAAGCCCGAGCAGCGAGCGGGATGGATCACGCTCGCTGCCCGGGCTTCCTCTTTAGCCTTGCGCAGCCTCCCACGACTGGAGAGATTGTGCAAGGCTTTTCTAGAGGAGGGAGAAGGGACTGACTGGCCGCGTCAGTCCCTTCTCCCTCCTGGGGAAAAGCCCGCAAGAGCCGCGCGAAGCTTGTGTGTGGCTCTTGGGGGCTTTTCCTGCTTGCCGCCCCCCCTGCATTCGCTCCATAGGACGCACAGACTTTTCCCCTTAGTTTTTAAGACGGAAAAACTGCGTCCTATGGTGCGAAAAATACGGTACTTCCTCCAAGAGTCTGAAGCCATCCAGTGCTCATGCTGGGTTCTGGAGAGGATACATCAGATAATTCTCTTTTTAAGTGCTTCTCTGTCCTTATTACTTATGGGATTTAACAATGTAAAATTATTTGTGAGTGACCAGGGTGTGTGGGTTTATTCGTGTTGCCTTTATTCTATTGTTTTATACAAAATCAATAGAACATATCTGAGGTTGGGGGGAACTAGTCTATTGGGCATTAAGTCTCGAAACAGGATGTGTCACAGAAGCCCATAGCCAAGCTCTGCAGCATAGAAATACCTGTGTCACACTGCTGAATAATGCCAGCCTCAAGGTATCTTCCTCGTATCTCCTTTAACAAGGGATCGTATAAAGGTGGAACTGAAACCTATTAAAAATACAGGCAAGTTCTTACTTCCTTTCCCTTTTTAAAATTATTTATGAAGTCTTAACATTCACAGCACATGAACAACCAAACATAAATGTTACACAGCGCACAGTATTTTTCCAGCTTGTTTTATTAGTAGTAGTAGCATTAGTAGTAGTAATAGTAGTAGTACTTCACCCATCTTACTGGGTTGCCCCAGCCACTCCAGGTGGCTTCCAACATATATAAAAAACATTGTGCATTAAAAAGCTTCCCTATACAGGACTGTCTACTCATCTCCTTGACATCTGCTGGATGTCCCGCAGGGAGGGCACCACCACTGAGGCCCTCTGCCTGATTCCCTGTAGCTTCACTTCTCACAGTGAGGGAACTGCCAGAAGGCCCTTGGAGCTGGACCTCAGTGTCCGGGCAGAATGATGGGGGTGGAGATGCTCCATTAACTATACTGGGCCGAGGCCATTTAAGGCTTTAAAGCTCAACACCAACACTTTGAATTGTGCTCAGAAACGTACTGGAAGCCAATGTGGGTCTTTTAGGACCATATAGAATAGACAGTATATTGGTACATAGCTCCAATCCATGTGTATAGAACAGCAGACTCAAATCCAAACACATCTAAGTATTCGTAACTGATGGCATACATGGGAGTGGGCATTCTGAGGATCTGGGGATCCACTTATAAATCCCATCAAAACATCCATTTCAGAAGAGAAGTTTTGGTTTATGGCATATATAGTTTGGTGCTTAAGAGAACAAGTTCAGATTTTGGAGTTTCTTGTGAAAAGTTTACTCCCATTTCCCACTCTTCTTCTCCCCCCCCCCCACCCCCAAGTCCAAATTCAAGCCACTGGGAACTGAGAAAAGAAAGTCCACAGCCACAGTACTGTGGGGGATTCATGAAATGTGAATTGTGTATGTCCAAGGGTGGGGAAGAAAATGCGAGGATCCTGATGGGAAAGGTCAAGGGTGTGAAGGTGTGTTTGCCAGTGGGCAATTCCCTAAACTGCCAAATAATTCACAATGTGAAAGCGTCTCCACCCCCATCGTTCTGCCCGGACGCTGAGGTCCAGCGCCGAGGGCCTTCTGGGGTTCCCTCATTGCGAGAAGCAAAGCTACAGGGAACCAGGCAGAGGGCCTTCTCAGTAGTGGCACCCGCCCTGTGGAACACCCTCCCATCAGATGTCAAAGCGATAAACAACTACCTGACATTCAGAAGACATCTTAAGGCAGCCCTGTTCAGGGGAGTTTTTAATGTGTGATATTTTGGTGTATTTTTGGTTTCTATGGAAGCCGCCCAGAGTGGCTGGGGAAACCCAGCCAGATGGGCGGGGTACAAATAATAAATTATTTATTTATTTATTTATTTATTTAGTAAAAATTGTTAATGCATACACATCCCTTCACAGGCTCTGCCCGTGATGCCAAGAAACCAATACAATTCTCATCAGTGCTTAGTCAACGTGCAATAAATTCAGCATGTTGGCTCTCCTACCTTGCAAGTGTTTGTAGAATACTTCAGAAAGAAAGGATCATAAGAGGAAGTATTATAGCTTTCTAAAAATGCACTGCCCTGTAAAAGAAGAAAAAGTGAAAGTCAAGCTATGGCTGCAACAATAATAGCAGGTAGCTAATATTTTCTATGTAATCCCTAAAGTATACCTTTCAGATAAAGTATCGTAGATGAATATTCACAGTACCTCAACATTTAGCTAGCATTTACTCCATCAACTTAATGCATCAATGGCACCATTGATTTCATAAATCAAGTCACAATAGTAACTTTTTAATCTTTCAGCATTACCAAGGTTGTCATTTTTTGTACAATATTCCCCAAATTACGAATTATGTGCATTAAGCTCTCTGTTACCAAAAACAGGTTTTGTGGTCACTAAATGTCAAATTACATATAGCATTAAGCTCATATTTTTTAAGGTGTACTTATCACCAGCAATTCTCTCCCCCCCCCCAAAAAGCATCTGTGTGACAACCCCTCCGCAGCCCTCCGAAAGTCAGGTAAGTGAGGCACTGGCCTTTGGGAAGGGGTGAAGCTCTGGCAGGGCCCTTCTTCACAAAGGCGGAAAGCGTTTTAGGGCTGGTGGGGTGTCAAATGTTACCAAGGGCCACCAAAAAAGGCCTTCAGGCTGTGGGTTGGACCACCCTGAGATAAACCTTTCTCCTCACACTGCTTCCTTCTCTATCAAAAGGTGCTATTTGCTTCACTATATGAAGTAGAAACTTCAGAGTAAAAATAAGTTGTGAGGTATTTTCAGGAGGAAAACAGCCTGTGTCCATGTCATGGTATTGCCAGAGAATGCAGGGGAGGAGCAGACAGGCAGAGGGAGGGGGGCAGGAAGTGGCGACTGAGGAAAGAGGGGAAAGCCAGGAGGCAGGACGGCTCACAGATGTGGAACCAGAGCCTCAACACCACACAGGAAGTTCTGGCACAGACAGTGAAACAATGCCTGTTCCGTCTGCCAGGGAAAGGAGAGTGTTAAAGAGGAGAGGCATCAAGTGAAACTTCCCCGCCTTTTCTGTTGGAGAAGGAGCTGGCATAAGCCACTCCCAGAATCTGAGCCGGAGGATTCGGATGCATGATTGTAATGTGCTGCCTGTACATATGTAAAATAAAGACTGTGTGTGTGTGTAGCATTCATAAGCCATCACAGTCCATGAGGCATGAGAGAGGCTTTTTTAAAAAAATATTCCCATCTGACATAGTCCTCCCCCCACAGAAATACTTTGTCTGAAAAAATGAAGTTGTCAGTACTAAGTATGCTTAAAAATTGTGCTGAACATAACATTTAATTTGAAGAACTTCTAAATCAAAGAGTGGGACACATGACAAAACTACACCGTACTGTTATCTTTAAGCCTGTATATCTGCTCCAAAACAAGAAACCTTGCAATCTGCAGCTCCATGGAGGAGCTAAGGCTTTCCAACAAAAACAAGTTGGCATCCCCACTTAAGTGCAGCACAGGAGTCTTTTGCCAATGGCATTCACAGGAGAAACCACATCACAAACCAGGTAGCTCAGGCGTTATCACATACAGGTGAGGCCTTCAATACACAGCTTGGAAACACAAGTTAAGCTTTCATTTCATTGCAAGGACTGTAGCCCTGCAAACAAATGTAGGATACATCCCTGCTCCATTGAGCTTACAATCTTGTATGGTATACACCTTTGTGTAGTACACACCTTTTGGAGTCAAAGTGTTGCATCAGACAGTTGATAAACGATGTCCTTAACTGTCCTGCTTGGTTCTCTCTTTCACTTCATGATATCCACAGTGCAGGTAACACTGAACACAGAGTATCTCACCACACAATTCATCAGCAGCATTGACAGAACACATGAGAAACATTAGAAAGTGTGAGTCCCTGAACCTTGTCTACCGTGGCTGGCGCTTTTTGCAGGCCATGGCACTGAAGGGACCCCAAGCGTCTTCCGTCTTCAAGGATATTTTGTAGTGTCACTATTCTTGGGCCGAGCCTGATATCTCCTGTAGGACTGGATCGGTGGAGGTATAGGGAGAAAGAAAGGGTTATGGGAATGGTAAGCGCTGAAGTCACGAAGAGGCTCGTGTTCTGAAGGTGGAGGCTGCTGTGTAGGTAGAGATAGTTCAGAAGCTGAAGCGTCAGAAGGGGGCTCAGAAGCAGCAGCTGGAGGAGCAGCAGGAAGACGAGGCAGGGAGACATTTTGCAAAGCAGCTGAAGGACCGGGCAGTTCTGAGGAGGTCAGCTGTAAGAAGGGAGACTGAAAGAAAAGAGAAGGCGAGTGGAGGAAAGGGGGAACTGGAGGAAGCAAATGAAAGAAATGAGGCGGGACTGAGGGAGGAAGCATGACGGAGGGGAGAACAACAATTGGTGGAGATGTGGAAGGGGAGACGGAAAGGAGAGAAAATGGAAATGGGGGCAGAAAAGAGGGAAAGTATGAGCCAGAGGAAGAAGACTCAAAAAGTGGGTGGAAAGGGGGAAGAAGCACACAAAGGGAGGCTGGGGAACCAGGATCAGATGAAGCCTAACGGAACGGAAGACAAAAAGGCAAAGGACAAAACAAATACATGAACAGAAAAGCACAGAAGGCAACAGCTAATATAAGGAAATTACAATTCCAGTATGGTAAGCGCCGCTCTTCCTTTGTATAAAAGGTGCATACTGATTTATTTTAGATTCAGGTAGGTAGACGTGTTGGTCTGACATAGTCAAAATAAAAATAAAAATAACTGTCTGAAGAAGTGTGCATGCACACAGAAGCTTATACCCATAACAAACTTAGTTGGTCTCTAAGATGCTACTAGACAATTTTTTATTTTTTTATTTTATTTGTATACCACCCTTCATCCAAAGATCACAGGACAGTTCACAACATAAAAATAGAAAATATGGACCCAATCCTAGGAATCATTTGTAAATATACCTCTACCTGTCCCTATTTACAAGGGGCAGCCCCTTTTCTCTACTACATTACACCCCCCAATAAATCAAATCACTGACCCAATTTTTGCAGATGTTTTGTTGAAATGTCATTAGTGTGAACGGCTGGTCTCAGTTTTCAGGCTTCAGCAACCTGCACCAGGTCTTCAGAAATATCTGAGTGGGAGTTTGAAGTTTGCCTCAGGCGCACAAGTGTGTGCACTCTAAGGGCATTTCCCACAGCAGTAGCTGAAGTTCATTATGAACAGACTGAAGGCCATTCAGAGTTTTGTTAATTCTATCTTTTACAGCCAAACAAGGGAACAAGTTGTTGGGAACAAGCTGTTGCAGCATAAATTATACAGTATGCAGCAGACAGGATAGCATCTTCAGCAACATGTAATAATAACTGCGTTTCTAGTTTCATCTGTGAAACATGTCTGGGTAGGTAATTGGTTGCTTTGTGTTCCAAAAGAAACGGATTCTTGTCCTTCAAAACTGTGTCTGCCCACAAACATGCAAACAGATAAGCAACCACAAGTAATTTTATATGGTAGTACACAGCCCTAAAGAGAGTATGAAATCTGAAAACTGATTTTTAAAAACTGAAAGCTGTGTACATTGGAAAATGTGCCGTCATACATGTTTTCAATATTGGATTATGTCTTTTTGTTTAATCCTGTGCTCTTGAGTCTCTCTCTCTCTCTCTCTACAAAACCCAACCACTGATCAACCACTCACTGGCCTCCGTGGTTAGTTGCTAATTTTGTGGTATTTTCATTAGCAAGAAGCAAAGCCAGGAGGAGAGGGCAAGCGATGATACTGCTTACGTAGAACGACATTATATTTCAGAGAACAGTGACTTAAGCTTTGCCCATATTAGGGTGTAAACATGCATGTGGATTGAACAAATCTGATTTTTCTGCATGTGCTTTTGCCCACATATGAGAACTCTGAATTTTATGCCTGTGTCTATCTCAATGTTTCTCACTGACAATTGTGGGCAGTGCCTGAGGAGATCTATCTGTGCTATATTCTTGTCTGCTCTCAGCTTCCCCTAGCTTACTGCTTCCGCACTATCCATTTTTTTCCATTTAACTTCTTTCTTGTTTTTGGTGCATTTATCTGGAAGTTCCAGACATCAGTTCCTTCATGACACATGTGCAAGTTTCATTTCCCTGTGCGCACACACATTTTTTAAAAAAAACATTTTTGCGAACGACTTCCGGCGAGGCAGCATGGCGGCAGCAGCAGAAGAAAAGAGCTCCTGAAGCCAGCCAGAATAAAAGGCTCTGGCGACCGATTCCCGGACCCCCCAGGACTGCTGCTGCCAGCCACGCCAACGGAGAGGAATTGGGGGTGCCCGGGCATCTATCAAAGGAGCCAAAACACCCCCCCACGACCTTGATTGAGCCGGAAAGGCACCCGACCCCCCCCCAACAGCCGAGAGGAGCTCCAAAACCAGGAGGACAGTGGAGCTAACGCAAAGAGGGAGAAAGAAAGGGAGAGAGAGGAAGAAAAAGAAAGAAAGAAAAAGGAGCCCCAAATTTACCGTTGCTGCCCCCATCTCTGCCGACGGGAAAGCAGAGGAGAGGTAGGTGAGCACGGTGAAGGCAAAATAGGCTTCGGGGAAGGAAGGGGGAAAAAAACACACGTGGCTGAGCCCGACCGGGAGCTCCAGCGGCAAGGAAAACACAGAGAAGCTGCATAACAAAGGAGACCACAGAAAAGAAAAAACAACCTTCCCCCCTTTTTTTTTTAACTCCCCCCTTTTTTTAACCCCTTCCTCCCCCTCCCTCCCTCCCTTTAAAGAAAATATATATATACATCTTTCTTATCCCTCCCCCCCCATATACCTACTTTTACCACTTTTCTTTTTAAAAGAGGGGCCACTGCTGCTGCAGCCACCCTTTATTTGAATCTTTACTTTTATTTCTATCTTTTCTACTCACTATTTAAAGACACACTTTTCCACACACACATCCTCAATTTAAACCTCATTTTATTTCCACCTCAAACTCCCCTCTTAAGATTTAAAATGGCAGTACCCAGAAAACAGCCCTGAACCATCACAGGCCATTTCCTGGGACTGCCACTTCGCCCCAGACTTTCCACTCTCTTTTACCTACCCTCTTTTACCTATACTTTACTCATTTTTTTAAAAAAAATAAAAAGCTCTATCTAAAGACAACCCCCCCTTTTTTTTTTTTACCTTTAATTCTCATTTTTATCTTTTACCCGTACATTTTTGGTTGCTTTTCTGCAGACGGAGAGTGGTGGCGGTGGTTGGGGGGACATATTATTATTATTTTTTAAAAGACAGAGCAGAGCCATACAATTATTCTTCTTTTCTTTCTCTTTTTAAAGCTCTTGTTGGCTTGCTCCTGAGGGGCGAATCTTTCGCCCCCAGCTACGACCACCACTCTCTTTTAAAACAAAAATTTCCTCCATATACCCATTTGGAAAATAAAAAATAATTGCATGGTTTTGTTTGATTTGTTTTTCTTAAGAATAATATTTCCCCCTGGTTATTGTTGTTATTTTTTGTTTGTGGGAAAGTAATTAAAAATGGAGGAAAATTAAACATATACCCTCTAATCTCTTGCATCTCTACCTGCTAACCCCCTTCCCTTTATATGAACTGTCTGTCCATTAGTCTACCCATCTCTGCTTACCTGCCCCCCCCGCCTCGGCGGCACCGCTGAGGCATCTACAGAAGCCCTAGAGAAGTTCTTAAAACACAGGCTAGAAGTGACACAAATGACCACCTAATCCAAACGCTCTGTAAAAGCCACCAGCCAACAAAGCCTGATCAGCTCAGCAACCCAACAATACCCAGGAATCACCACTGCCACAACTCCTAACCATCACACGCCCAACCCCAAGAGGATGCCAAGCCAACCTCAAACCAAAACCATCAGGGAGACCGAGATGACACCAACCAGGGAGATGGCAAACAATGCTAAGATGGTAACTCCCCTTCAAGATGATGACCACCCAATAACGAAACGAGATCTGAGGGAAATGGAAGCACGATTAGAAGAAACACTGAAGGCCACAATGGCTCCCATGCAGGTACTAATCAACAATCTAACCTCCAAAGTAGAAGCTCTAGAGAACAAGAACCAAATGCAAGAAAGAATAATAGAACAATACCGGGAGGAGAATGCACGTGTGAACAAGAAACTGGACGAACTGGTAAACCAAATGGAAAGCAGAACACAACGAGATGAAAATTAAGCAAGCCGACCTTGAAGACCGCAATAGACGTTGTAACATCCGCTTCCGCAACTTTCCTGAAAAAACAGAGGAGGAAAGCCCAGCAGACCTAATTATACGCTGGCTGAAAAACACAATCCCAAGCCTGAAACTTGAGGCAGATGACTTGGAGAGGGCTCACAGAGCCCTAAAACCTATGCCAAAACCCAGCGCCCCCCCGAGAGACATCATTGTATGCTTCACACGCTACCAAAGAAGGAAGAGGTATGGAACAACATCAGAAACTTAACCAACCTTCGATACGGAGAAACCCCCATCCTGGCCTTACAGGACTTATCCAGGATACCCTAAACCGGAGGAAAAGCCTGCGCCCATGCACCCAGCGTCTCCAACAAGCAGGGATCAAATAC